GGGGTCTGGCGGATGCGTGCCCCGGGCGGGTGGTTTGGTACCCATGCAGGTGTGATAGCCACGTGAATTTTACACCTGCACGGGCTCCTGGCCGCTGCCTGAGCACCCGACTGCAGACCCAGGCTCACAGTGACTCTGTGTTTTCATGCCCGTCCCGAGTTTATTGTTCCCGGCATAAGAACATCGTCACCGGCAGTGGGAAGGTGCTGGCTGCAAACCTGAGCCCGGGGCGGGGGCTCTGCCCAGGCTGTTAGGGGAGCGGTGCTGAGAAGCTGTTCTGCCAAATGCCCCTGGGAGCAGGGCGGGCGAGGGCTGTGCACCTGAAGGGCTCGGCTCCCTCCAGTGCCTGGTGCAGAATTCAGCAGATGCCTGGGTCACATCCTGCCTTCAATCACCTGGCATAGATCTGGAGCAGCTTCGCTGGAGTCGGTGGGTTACCCCAGCTGTGCATCCCCGTAATGCGGAGCAGGTTCAGGCTCCACGTCCTCTGCAGATTCCTGTTACCAATTGACCTGTAAATTTACACCGCAGACCAAGAGGGGTTAGCAGCAGGGCGCAAAGCATCAGCTTTCTGGGCAGAAATGGTGACTTCATAAGTCAGAGCAGGGGAAGCGCAGCTGCTTCCTACTTCGTTTGCAAGAGGAGAAACAAAAGTGAAGAGGGTATGCTGGAGGAAGGGGAGTAATGCAGGGTTAGTGCTCACTCACCAGCAATCACCAGCGTTGCTGGTAACTGACCTTCTGCTTTAAAAAACACCTGCACAGTCTACAACGTGAAAAAACGTCCTCATTTCATGGTGTGGAAAAAACGGGACTCATCTGTGCATTCACATTGTTCTCGTAGCCAAGGGTGCTGACTCGGGGTCCTGATGCGTGGCAGCAGTGTTAGCAAAGGAACCTCCAGGCTGTGGAAATCCCAGCTGTGACGCTCCCGTGTGCCAGGCGTCCGTCTGATTGGCAGCTGTGCTTTTGCACAGGCGATGCTCCGAGCATCCGCAGCGTCCCGCTCCCGGGCTGCCTTCACTCTCATTGCCCTGTGGCTTTCCGCTGCAGCTGGGGCAGGACCTGGGCATCCCCAGGGTCCGAGCCGGTGCCGTGGCAGCCTGCAGCCCCTCGCAGCTCTTGTCCCGCTGTTCAGGACGTTCTCCAGCAGGTTATCGGGTGGTGCTGGTGGCTCCAGCGCTGCAGCAGACCCAGCCTGCACCCTGCTGAAAGCCAGTTTGAACGAAGGAGCTCGGCCCCTTGCGTCAGGGAGAGGCTGAGTGATGAGCCTTGGCCGTCTGTTCGTCACCGGCTGGAGCTGAGGAGCTGAGGACGTGGCTGGTGGTGGGGACTGACCTTCCCCTGCCCTGCAGTGGTCTCTGCTGTCAGGGCTCAGGCAGCCGAGAAGGGAGGTTGCAGCATCGCTCTGTCTCCTGCTGGCTCCATCAGCAAACGGGCACTCAGCCTCCCAGGGCTGTAAATCCACACCCTTCACGTGCGGTGCAGCCTGGGGAACCGCGTTTGTCCAGGGGATCTCCAGCAGCGCAGGGCCAGCGTGCACCGGGAAGGACCGTGCGGGTGCAGCAGCCTCTGCGCATCCCAGGAGCCCGCGGGGCTGGGCAGGTCCCCCCCCATCACCCCCAACCTCCTCTGCCCGCAGAACCTCAACGTCTCCTTCCAAGGCTGCGGGATGGACTCGCTGAGCGTCAGGGCCATGGACACGGACACGCTCAGCCAGGTGAAGGAGAAGATTCTGGAGGCCTTCTGCAAGAACGTCCCCTACTCCCAGTGGCCCAGGGTGGAGGCAGTGGACCCCGG